CTTAAAAAATTGGTGAAAACATGTAGAAAAATATTGGAGCAAGTTGAAGGCCTATCAAAAGAAGAAAATATTGAAGATCTTATTCTCCATGTTAGAATTTGTTGCATCATATAACTCCTACACAAATGCAACATATTCCTTCTAAAATGTTAATTTTACACTTGGTGGGTCCTGTTTACTTGTTTTTCTGACACCATGCTTCACAAATTTTGGTAACTTTAACGAGGATAATAAAGTTTTGTTTCATTTTTAGTCTCCATTAATTTGTGTGGATAAATGATATGTGAAACATATTTGAGAAAATGATGGTATATTTGAGGAAAACAAAAAGAAAATATATATTAATGTTGAGTGCTTTGCTCTTAATTTCTCAATTAAGTTGTTCTAATTTATGTGTTAAGTTCAAAAAGAAACATGTACAGTGATTGTTAAGGTATATATTAGCAGTTCTTTATAACTTAATGCTAGAAAGCATAAATTAATAAAGAAATTTTGGGAAATGAGTATTTTGAAATCGAAGCAACTATTTCACATATCTTTAACTTTTATTTTCAGATAAAAAGAAAAAGGGTTCATCCGTTCATGAAGATCTTCAAAACACTTGGTCGCACAATAACTAGATAGTTGTAATGCCCAATTTCTGGTATGTAATTTAAATAAAGTATTTTTCCTTTCTTAAGAGGTACTCGATGAGTCTGAAGCCCAACTCGTCGAGTAACGGTAGGATTTTCACGCTTCTTTAGTAGGCGACTCGACGAGTCTATATCCCGAACTCGATGAGTCCGCTAGTCTGGATGAAACTCTAAACCCTTGGGTTTTCACCCTATTTAAATGTCATTATAGCCTCCCACCCCAGCCTCCAGCACCTTTAGAGCATTTATCTGTAAAACCCTAGTCCCCATTGTTGAGCTTGAGTGTTTTGTGATAGCTTGGGAGTTGTAGAAGAGAAAGAAGGAACTAGCTTCCATCTGCTTCATATTCAGGTAATAAAGTTATTACCTTGCTTATTCGTCCATTAAACCCTCTTTATGCTTGTTTATGTCTCTTTTGGAGCCTTATGTGATTCAAACTCAAGATTTGAACTCTCCTTAGGATGCAGACCATAGATCGGGATGTTTTCGAGCTGTAGAAACTCAATATAGCTACCTTTATGCAAATATAGCCTTGTTCCAAACCCTAAGTGCTTAGTGTTGGAGGATTTTGGTGTTTAGCCCCATTCACATGTGCATGCACGTAAAGTTGGAAACTTTACGTGCAAAACCAACCCTAGAAGCCCAGATATATGAATTTGATGCACTGAGACCGACTAGAAGCGAATATATAGTAGTGGCAT